TTATAAAGTTGATAAGCTAATGGAAAACTCCAGAACGCACCGTTTATTTAAATAATGTAACAACAGTTATTTTAAGATGCTTCTGATAAAAATGGAAATATTAAATACTTAATTTTTTTTTGTGAATTATATGGCATTAACCAATAATATTTTCCATAAAGAAATTCACTTAAAATGAATTTTGTTTATAAGAAATTAATTAAGATTGAAATTTCTGGAGAAAAGCTCGTTGATACTTTTGCTTTTGTTTAAAAATAAACAAGATGACTATCTGATGAACTTTTTAAATGAACTTTACTAGATATTCGATTATTTCTTAATTTTTTTTTAAACATTTAAAGAAAAAATTTATTATTTACGTCAAGTATAAATACTTGTTTTCGCTACAAATGTTGTTGTAAAATTGATCACAATCAATAACTGATTCAAAAACCAGAAAAGCAACGCCGAATTGTCGTCCAAGATTATCAGTTGGAACGTTGATCTCTTGAATACAGTATTGATCAAAAGATTTCTTGATCTCTTCAATTGTTAGTCATTTAGGTATATTCGAAATTAATAGTGTGCGCTGTAGTGAAAGAAATTGTAGATGAAAACATCAGATATAAATAATACTCACACCAGTAATATCATGAATTTTTAACAACTTGTCATTCTTTTCGGTGGCTTTGATACTATGTGATGATAATGCTGATTGATGAGATGATCTATAAAGAAAAACTATTCATGAAATGCAAAGAAAAAACACAACGACTGCAATATCAGCTTTTTCTCATTCACTCCTACTGGTAAACACCCACATATGGCTCACATTTTTTTTCTTTTTCTTTCTGTTGATACTACGAGATTGATGGAGCGATTGATAAAGTTGCTTTTTTTTGCAAGAAATGTAAGCTGCAATATAAACAAAAAAAAAGAATATATGCATTCATTCATTTTGATGGCTAAGATTTGTAATACACTTGCTGGCTTCAATGAAAATTCTTGTTTTGAATTTACGTGCCCTCTTCATAATAGATGTCGCAGAGTTCTGTGTACTGGAAGACTGTGCAAATTAATATAGAAATGAATACAGATGAAGAGAAGAACTGCACCTACACTAAGAATCATTCTGGATTTTCGAATACTCAAATATTTATTTGAATTAGAGGCTAAAATACTTCGAAATGGGCAACAATTTCATGAACTTAATGCAGGTCATGATCGTTTTATAACTCTATTACCAATTGAATTTTCATCCGAAAATATTTAGTAGCGCTTATTAGATTGATTTTTTATTTTATTTGAACAATAATCAACATATGCAGACAGACTTTCAATACAAAAACAAGAGCTTAATTCAGTTAAATAAATATTTATTGAAAAACAAGATGATCTTGGAAAACTTCGATTAGATTTAGACTTAACAACGACAAAATGAATTGAATTTCAGTAACAACAAATATGATTAATGCAAACAAATAGGTCTCTTCATAATGATAAAGCGAGGGGAGAAACAGCTGAGACTTCGGTTTTGAAGTCCAATGAAGTCTTGAAGTCTTTCTGAAGTCTCGTCAAGTCTCATGAAATCACCTGAAATGTTTGACGTACCTTTAGTGCATGGAAAATTCATAAGAAAACCAATGAAATAGTCTCGCTTTTGTTGATCTTATTTCAGCAAAAATATGAGCTTTTATTGTTTTATCAATCTACACGAAAATTCCGAGCTTGTTTGAACTTAAACTCCCTCAAAAAAAAGTCACTTTTTATCAGAATGGTCGAAATTAAGACAAATGCATCGGAAGATAGCTCGTGATCTGATCTTTCATGAACAACAAAAAATTTTACTCAGTATCTCGTTTTTCTTTCCAAAAGTTTTGAAGATTTCTGTCATCCCCTATTCGAAAAAAAGCTATTTTCAGAAAAAAACAGAAAATCTTCTTCGTTTTTTCTCCGTTCATAGTTTTTTAGTCGCGCAAACCAAATTTCTCTATTGATATTCGTTCAATGTATTTAATTTTTTTTGTTTGAAAGAGCACGTCAAGATGCAGTGCAGTACAGAGTCCCTTTTTTGATTAAGCTTGGCTTTTACTAGATATACAAATATTTATATAATTAGATCACTATTTTTTTGAGAGTTTTTTAAGTCATTGAACTTTCTAGCCCTTATTTTCCTTGAAAAGTAAGAATTAAAAAGAAAGGACCCTATACACTACACTGCATATTGACATCTGCTTTCAAACAAAAAAAAATAATTATGTAGAATGAACTTTGACAGACAAATTTGATTTGCCAAATGAGCTATTTTTGACTCTTGTTTGTTCAGGATCTCCCTCAAACATCATGATATCGGGCTGAAAATTGTACCAGAGCTTCTTCACTACAGTCCCAATATATCCTGAAGATTTCATGCAATTTGAATGTTCCTAAGCTGAGATCAATTTTTGAGGGGGGGGGCTTAAAAAAACAATCGTAGTTTATAGTTCAGTTCTTTTCAATGAAGTTGTTTATTTCTATAAGAAATACTCTATCAATTCAATATCAATGTTATGAAGACATTTAATCCTGCATGTCTGATTCTATCACTCATGTGGGTCTATCAGCCGATAAACGGCTGACTTTATCGGTCAATAACCAACATGTCGTTTGCTTATGTATAACTTTAGCTTGTGTAACTTTCTTTACCATTGCTGCAAAAGACAGGGAATTTGTTGTACCTGTAAAAAAAACTGCTCTTAATTGGAACATTTAGTGTAGAGTCATTGTTTACATTTAAAAGGATCACCTTAACATGTTCCAACGTTAAATATATCGTAAAGAAGATTTTCAAAAAGAACAGAAATTCTATTTTTTATATTTGTCTAATTGATAGTGTTTTGCATGCTACAGAAATTCGATACAATTTCTGTGGCTTCCCGAACGCTCATGTAGTCTTGCAGTCACGTAAAGTCTGATGAAGTTCCACGAAGTCACCTGAAGTCTTATGAAGTCTCTTGAAGTCTTCGGAAGTCTTTTGAAGTCCGCTGTTTTCTCCTTGCAATATCGTGATGATTTACTTATTTCATGTTTACAATTTATTATATCATTACCATCAGAATGTATTGGTTATCATTTTGCTTATTATGTACCAGCAATTCAAGCAAAATCTTTCAGTAAATAACAGAAGAATAATGATTTTGAATATTTTAGCTTGCTTCAAGTATTGGTTTAACTTATTTACCATTAGCAGAACAAACGATTAATCATTTGAAACGATTGTCACAATTAATGACATTAAAGGAGGAGGACGGATAAGGCCGTTTTGCAGCCCCCCTCCTCCTCCCTCCTTAGAATTGATTTATTTCTATCAGCCTGTCTGGCTAAAAAAGGCCATGCTTAGTCAAGGTTGAGCTGAATATTTCTCGAGTAGAAGGCGACCAACCTTCTTCATTCAAAACTTTTTAAAAGGTTTTCGTATATTTTCTATCGATAGATGTGATCTATTTTCATTAAAGAAGAGAATAGATAGTAGTTGCCAGCCAAAATTAATCATTTTTTTTTGTGCAAAAATGATGAAAAAAGAGTCTCATTGTCTTTCATCATATTTCCAACACTACTTTATTATTTAAAAAACTGAAAATCATAGCGTTATCATCGAAGATGGAACTAATGTTTGACATTGATGGATTACCTTTTATTGTTGTTAAAGCTATAAAATAATAAGCATTTTGAGGAAGCTCAAAAAAGAACTCAATAAGGGTGTGGGTGTGGGTGTGAGGATGGGTGTGGGTGTGAATGTGGCTGTGGCTGTGTGGGGTGTGGATGTTGGATGTGGTTGTGGGTATAGGTTTCGGTGTTTCACTTTCATATACACTCACACTCACACCCACATCCTCAAACGGTCTCAGAGCTTAGATACGAGCCATAATAATTGCTGACGAATCAAAACTTATGTTCTATACTTTTCTAGTTTCTTGTTATCAGATAACATGAGTGATGCGTTCATTACACTGATTTTCTCATTCACGAGTTAATCTCTCATCAATGCTTTAGGGATCTTAATATGGATACATTAAATCCCCTTATTACTATACTTTGGTTCTAGACACTATCGAGATTTGGAAGAGTTGAAAAAGAAAATCTATGAGACATGTGTCGATACAGCTCTACCAAAGAACGTCATCATAGAAGCTTATGTACAGTTCAGAAACACACACCGATATATTTCAATTATCTTGAAAGAAGTATAAAATAAACCTTTTACTACCAAATGAGAGCTTCACATTTTTATGAAATATGAACTTCAGATCTTGCGAGCGTTTCAATCATGGATATTGTACTCATTTGATGCGAACACTTGTGTTAGAGTTCGAAAATCTCTCGCATAATTTCAACTACCTGTCGCTCAACTTTGTGAGATGTCTCATTTGTTGAGTCAAAGACCTGTTCATACTTCTATCACCTTAAAAATAATTAACATCATTTCATTCCTACACTGTATACATAACCTCATAAAAGCAATGCTATTAAAGCATTCTTATTTCCTATTCATCAGTAGAGGCACACAACTAAGTGACCATCAGAATCATCAATTTTCTGCTGTCCAATTGGTTGAACTCTATTGATGAACAAGATTTTAATCTTTTTCTCTGATTCAATCGATCTTATCAATGCGACGAGTTAGTCTTCGATTGGACAGACGAAGAAGAATTGAATGAAAATACAACATCAGACTATTGGAAGGAAAAAAGGCAAAAGGGAAACATGAAACTACATCGAACATATCAGCGAGATGTATTGCTCGTTTGTTCATAACACAACTAAAATGTGAAACACGATGAACCTATTCGAAATGAACATGAAGATGTTTGTTAAAAAATGTTATATGTATTTAAGTGATTGTAAGAGGACATATATGAAACAAAAATTCATTGTTGAGATTGAAGGATTCCATGAAGCTGACAGAATGAAACAAGAAGCAAAAAAAGGCAAAAAAGTGTCTACGCAAGTTGAAAGGACAATCTTCAGCGCAAGCAAATTATTCAACTTTGTTGTTTTAACTTCTTAACTACATATTCGATTATTGCTGAAGAATAAAATTCCCTCATATACAATTTTGACGGATAAATAAATATAATAAATGTTAATATTTGAGGTATATTAATAAGTAAAGCTGATAGAATATGTAAATGTGAATAGACACCCAGTTTAACTTCTAAACAGGGAAATATAGTATTCGTTATAGCAAAAAATATTAAATGTGGTAATTGACACAATAAAATAACTAATGGAGAAATAAAATAATCACGATGTAATGAAATTTGTTGCAACCATGCTTGGCGATAAGTTAAATGACTATTAGCATAATGAGACAATGATACTTTTCGTCGAACAATACTGATACAGGTTAGTATATTCGACAGAAAGTGTACAATGCATGGACCAAGCATGTTAATCCATGCTTGTATTTGTTCTAGTCTTTCTAATAGAGATGACATACGAAAGGTACAAATAAATAAAGAACTATCAGCTGGATCCGATAATACTTTTTTACCTAGAATTGTTGGTATGCGACAGAATGGTATAAAAATGAAAAATGTTAGTGAAACCATAATCGCATGTATTTTTGTTGTACCAAATAATCGAAAAAGAAATAATTCGATTAGAGCACGTTCAAAAGCTAAAACAGCAGAAATCCATAGACTGATCGATGTCAGTATTGTGTGAATAGTCCAAAGCACATGACAATTAAGAATTTGATAAGCGTACGACTGAACTATTGATTTGTGACCATAAAAAGTTGTCATCGTTCGTATTAGTAGCCACATTGTTATATATATGGCGCTTATTGTATATACTAGTAGATAAACACCTGAAAATGTTGAACGTATCCGTTTTGAAATAATTGTTTGCAAAGTTAAAATATTGTTTAACAGACCGATAAAAACCATTAGACAGATACAAAATACATAGAGTAGTTTGTAATTCACGGTTCTGGATTCTCGTAAATTGATTAACATAGCAGATGGAAATGAATGAAGTAAAAGATTATCATATCTTTCACATCTTTCACCTGCATAGCACGGAGGACACAAACATGACCAACTAGCATTGTCATCATTTATGTAACATTGACCACGATTAAAACATGTGACATTAATTGTTGCACAAGTATGTTCCAGTAATATCATTTGAATATTTGTTGAACGGTTTTATTCGATAAAATATGATAATGAGAAGGAAAGGAAGTAAAGAAACACTCGACCAAATGACAATATTTTGTAGAAATACACGCATCTAAACTCTGTATAAGATTATCAAATAATCTCTTTTTTCTACGACGCACTTACGGCTTAATATACTACTTGCTCGTTATAAACAGCGCAATACAGTATCTCTACTATTGACGTAATGACCTATATATTTTCAATAAATACAAATTGAAGATAAGATAAATCATGACATTTTCTTGTTGATATATATATTTCAGAATTTCAATGTAAAATATTATTGACGATCAATACCATCTGTTCTCTGATTATAATCATTTGGAAGAACACAGAATGACTTTTGTAGCCGTTGTATCGTTTTTATTATGTATTATTATTTATCAGTGTTATTCAAGCAATTTAGATGCTAAATGTCGTAGTGAATTCGATAAAATGTTGTTAGGAATAGATGGAAGTGGGGGAGGATGTCTGACAAAGTGTTACAACAAAGAAACGTCGTGTGAAGCAAAAATATCAGCAGCTCGACGGATACAATTAATAGGAAAGTTTCATACATACAGATCATTGTTGCAATTCAATCAAACAATTACAATTGGTGGTCATATGACAATTTCGGGTTTAGAAACGTATTATAAACATGACTGTGATTTAGAAGGATTAAAAAAATGTGAAAAAACTGAATGGTTAGATGATGAACGATGGTGTTTCAATATCCCACAGGAGGATCAAATGTTGAAACTCAGTCAAAGTGTTTTAAAAACGCAATCACCCATGAAACGCGTTTCTCCAATTGTGGATGAAAATTGGAAATTGTTACCGTTTCCAAATTTATTTAATGTTACAATCTTAAGTGTTAAATCATTAGAATCATGTAACAAAACTCGACAACCAGTAGCATGCCATATGGTGTTGGAAAACGAGTGCTTATTTTATATGTGCCATACAAACAATGAAACTAAGTTAATACAATTGACAATTAAATATGAACAGTTAACTGTTGATTTGATCATGATGTGTCATTTAGAATCAATTACACATTATATGCTTGGAGATCGGATATATCATATGTTGGAACAAAATGGTGGCCAAGATACTATATGTCATTTTGCAAATCCACAAACCAATTTTTTTCTTTGTGAATAGATCATGAATTGTCTACTCATTAAAATGAACAATCAGTTGACCAAGAAAACGGTTTTGTTGTCTAAATGTATCCCAGCTTTTTCTGAAATGAATAAAAACAAAATCTCTCTAACATATTAGTGGTTTATTCAGAGAAGGTGTGATAACATTGTCATAATCTAGTTCTGATTACATACAGTTTTGACTCTATTTTATTCCTTTTCTACACGTTTGCTAGAAGATGATGATCATCTACTTCGTGTTATTTTTTATGTATCGCATTGAGAAAAATAGGCATTCTTTTGAAATACAGCAAAAAACATATTATTGCAAAAGTTTTCTATTTGTTTCTATCCCCTAAATAAATGTTTGAGTGTGGATGTGGGGTGTGGATGTGGGTGGGTATGATTGTGGGTGTGGGTGAGTGTGAGTGTGGTTTGATGCCGGCGTCGATCAAGGGAAAACCTTTTCACACACTCATAACCGCACCCACGCCCACACCCACACCCAATACTGACATCCACACCCACACTCACACCCAACACCGACACCCACACCAAACCCACACCCCACACCCACATCCTTAGATTCGGAATCCTGGCCATGAATAACCTATAGCAAAGTTTCATCAAAAGACCCATAAAAGTTAAAACAAAAAAGCTCATTTCTGATGTTTTTTTTACCTTGACACATACACATACTTACAAACGCATTTTCTTCTATAGAAGCCTCCTTATAGTCGAGGGAATAGAGTGACTATACTTGTTCGACACATATTCATAAGATGTTGATATCAGCAACAATAGAATGACTGATCACTGTTTATCTTCGATGAATATTCGATAATATATTGACAATACTGTGATATACACTTTTCTTGTGATTAATTAGTACGTATCCAAAATCCAAACGAAGATACGCAAGAACTCTCTATCAGACCAATCTTCTGCTCAGAGCTTTATAGCTAGTATTGAATATAGAGATGGCATTGAAACTATTTTGTCTTTCTCTAAACAGTATCGCATACTGCACGATTGCCTAGTGGTATAAATTTTGTTTCTGCTTATTTTACATCTTCCTTTTAGAAGATTTATAGGTCATAACTTTGTTGTAGTACTTCGTTGCTCTACATTGTTGTAAAGAAATTTGTTTTACTTAATTTTCTAGATTCATTAACTTAAAAGTTTTATTTATAACTGATGCTATTATTTTAATTTATTTTCTTTTCTAGTTAAATAAACACAAAATGAAATGTATTTCGAATGAAGACTAGTAATCACTCGAATAGAAACGCTAGGTTCCTAAAATTGATTATTACAGTGATTTTGTTTTGACGATAACATATGAGAGCAAGATAAAACATTAAAAAATTGGAGATTGCTCATTCGCAGGCAAATTTTTATCAGTATTATGAAGGATATTTGAGTTTTAGCTCCATGTGTAACAGAATATTTTGAAATTTCGATGAGAACATTTCATACACTCTGAATAAGAATACTCCGTTAATGAGAAAAATTCAATTTTAATTTTTTTAATCATATTTCAATGAAAGTTTATACAACTGTGTGGTATCGTATTATTCTTTTTTCCTAATGTATCCTATCCTTTTTATTAACGCTCTAAGTTATTATAAATAAATAATCTAGAAAAAAAAATTCTGTGATATTCTACAAAGAAAAAAAATAATATATGGGAACGTATGGTTGCTCTTTTCTATTTAAAAAGTTAAAGCATGATTGTTCCACTCACTCCATTCTACTAAACAAGCATTCTATAATGACTTTTCATAGTGTGAAGAATCGTTATAGTAATGAGTTTTAAAGTTTTTTTTCTTTTTAAATAGATCCATCCAATACACATTGTTAGTGCCTTGTTAAAATAGAGAGAAAGCATTACTGGTAGTTTATCAAAACTTTATCAGCAACGTTCGGTTCCTCAAACGATACGTTTCTTTATTCATTTGTTTTTTGTATAAAACTTTGTTCATCCCAAGTAAAACTTGGACGACGCTATGGATCTCTGACTTTCATTAACCGTATATGTGTGTTTTATATTGTCACGATCTTCGAAACTTGACTCAAGGACTTTGATTTTAGAATTTTAAAGAAATTCTCGATAAACTTGAGATTTATTAATGAGTAATTTTTAATAGTGACTAGCAAAGAGCGTATCCCTCTTAAATTAGATGAAATCAAAACTTTCGTTTGAATGTATCACTGTCAAGGGGAATCCGAAGCTGCATTTTGCGAAACGCATTCAGTATGTGCCCATGATGTATAGTAATTGAATATTCCTGTATATCATCGTAGGAAAATTTTCCAAAATAGAAAATGTTATGAGTACTTTAAATTTATATGACCTACAATCGCTGATAGATTGTTCATATCGTGCATTACTGATCAATAAATCTCAGGTTTAAAAATTATGACAGCATTAAAAATGCGTGCAATTAATAAAAGTCAGAAATTATTTCGTCATTCAGACATTACTTGTAATGAACAAATTTTAGATGAAAATCTGGAGGAAGAAATATATCGTTTGAGGTAATGAGTTTCGCTGAAAGTGTTTCGATAAATTACTGACGAGGGGTTACTATAACGATGCTTTGCACAATGGAAACTCATTATAGAATGCTTGTTTAACAAAATAGATTGAGTAGAACAATGACCCTTTGACTGCCTAAATAGAAAAAAGTAATTGTGCATCCGTGTATTGTATTTGTTTCTTTTTAGAATATTGCAGAAATTTGTTGCAATGCTATCATTAGTGAAATCGTACCTCTATTCTCTCAATTTTTTTTATCCTCTAAAACAGTGAACAATGCTTATGAAGTGGAAAACGAACGAATTTCAACTCGTACCTTCATTCTCATCATGATATTAGCCACTGTGATTCTGCTTACTTATACGGCTCAAGTGCGCATTGCACGAAATATTGTTGTACGACAACCATCATATGAAAAGTTTCTATTCGTTTCGGCACACTATTCGCAGACACTTCGTTGTCCATGAAATAATATGGCTGTTCAACAAAATACGTTTATTACAATTGAGCCTCAATTTCATCAACTATGTTCATGAGACTTCGTTTCTGAAAACTGGCTCGATTATATCAACTGTGTTTCAGGATATCGTGTATCGAATGATCTTAGCTATATGGGTGGTTTGTTCTTTCAAACTCTTCACTCCTGTTGTCGCCTAGCAACTGCAACTATAAGTAATGCTATAAGAACATTTAATGAAACATATTTTATTACATCCGATGCTCTCGATGAAAATTCTTTCAATCATTCGGTAGATGCACTCATTCAAACTTTTCAATTAGAGACCAAACTTACTTTTTATCAATTCTTTGGTCTAAATGAGTTTTCTATGGAATTCAATACGCTTCTATCTTCTGTATTTAGTAACGTCGAGATAAAAATTAATTTAACAATAGAAGACATAGAATTTCGAGGTCGTTCTTATATGAATGATACCTGCACTTGTGATGTATCGTCACTCTGTATTACACCATTGACTATTAAAGCTCGTGGAGTCAACTTTACTAATTCAACATCTTTCACAATACCAGGTCTCTTCACTGGCTGCTTCTTTCTAGCAGGCATGCGCAAATCAACGCTCGAATGTTTTTATTCTGAATCATGTATTGCAATTATTGAAGAATATCTACAAGCTCTGGCACCACCAAACAAGCTTCCGTCACCGCTAAATGCTTCGATTAGAAGTCAATTCAATATAAGTTTAACTTTAGACAAAATGCTTTCAGAAGACATGATTGAACAATGGATGGGATCTGCGAATCATTCTTAATATTTTTTTCAATGTCACGTTGATATTTGTACATATTTACTTACATCAAGATTTAATATTGTCTATATAGTCACAACAATGATCGGTTTTATTGGAGGATTAATAAAAGTCCTTCGCATTCTTGTTTCTCGAATAGTCAAATTCATTCGACGTCGAATTTCAGCTCCGTTAGCTGTACAAGAGGAATCAGGTGAGCTAATCGTTTTTTTTTACTATATTGAGTTTATAAGAAAGAGTGACAAAATATTCTGGTTACTCTGAAGAAACGCTATGTTGATTTGTAAAGTTACCAAGGAAAATCGTCTATCTTTGGCTGCTAGGAGAAAGGCGCTCAATAAACTTCTATCTTCTCTAGGCAAGTGTAGTTGTTTGACGAATAGTTTGAGTGTGGGTGTGAGGATCTATTTAAATGTTATCTACATCCAATTCAACAAATCATATACATATCCTCATCTATTGACTAGGCCACATACACCCGCGCTTTGACCTATGCTATCTTTTACGTAGTTGATGCTAATGCGCATGTCAAATCAAACAAAAAGTTTTCAATATTGTATCCGACTGTATTAGAGGATTCGATAATATCATATATAATCTTTGAAATAGATAGGTGCTTATTCACTCTTACTTAGTTTGTTCTCAGATAATGACAACCTTGGATACTTATTTGGCATTAGTTCGAGAATTTTGACTTTACTCTGATCATTTACTTTTAGATCCTGTTCGGAAATCTCTATTAAAACAATTGTGGACTTGGAATTATTTTGCTAAGACTGTAACAATATCAGATGAAAGAGAAGTTAGACAACTATTTATTGCAACGCGACTGTTTATTCTTTTATTAGCAATATCATTTGTTGTGCTAGAAACATATTATGTTTTCGAACGTGTTACTCGTCTCTATCATATTGAATCGCCTACATTAGAGCAATTTATTCATTTACAGGAAGATCAACTTATCAATCATTCTCTCTCCTGTTCTTGTTCAACTTTAGCCATACAATATGAAGATTTCATTCAAATCGATTATGTTTATCATCCAGTTTGCTCCTCGAGGTTCTCTAATCCAGATAGAATTGAGGTAATAGAATATCAACCAACTTACTTCTTTCTTGATTTTCGTGTTTTGGCACCAACATTCTTCAATGCTTTGGGTTTATATTGTGAAGTGGCTGCTAAACATATTGAAAAGAGTCTCGCATCGTTTATCAGATTATTATTTGTTGCTGATCAAGCGTTCAATTTAGAAGTTTTTACTGAGAAAAAAAATGCAATCATCAACAATTTCAAATCGTCAACGACTCGTGCTTTTGTACGTGATCTCACCATCATTTCGAATATGACCCGCAATAATGGACTAATGACTACTCATAGAACCAATTTCGTTTTTATAATGCATGGTACATATCCATTTTATACATTGATGTATGCTTACACACCACATTTCATCAGCTTGGAAGATCCACTCGATGTCTGCATATGTTTTCCAGGAGTACAATGTCACAATCCAATGGCAATTTCTTCAAACTATTCTTTTTTACCAGTTCGATTTTTAAATATTCCAGGTCTCTTTACTGGTTGTTTGACGGATGAAGGTATTCGACATTCATCATTAATTTGTTTATTCAATCAAACATCTGTCGATTTGATATCTTATTGGTTTAATGCATCCAATGTATTGGCATATGATGCCAATATGCTTAATCACTTTACTCCGCACTCGACTGTCGACGAAATGGTAAATGAAGTGTTCGTCGATCGATGGAATTATCTCATCGGTGGTCTAATGGAAATTTTACAAATTGCTATTCCCCATGTTGTTCGAACAATATTTCCATTATATTCACGATTTGAACGTTGGTGGCATAGACAATCTCCTCCCATTATACCTCGATCAAAATTATCTTTTCAAATTCTTATCAATCAACTTCGCCAACTTAATTTGTTTGCCTCTGAAGATCCTACCAAAGACGATGAACATGAAATTCGCAGTCAAATTCTTTCTACTCGTATATTTATTATTGTTCTACTTCTTGCTCTTGTTATTCTTACAATTTATTCTTCTCGAGTTGAAATCACCAAAACGGTGACAATCTTCAGTCCTTCTCTATACGAATATTCACAGCTTTATGCAAACCGTTATCAAACACTCATTTGTACCTGCACAAATATTGCTATTCGACATAAAACTTTTATTATACTTCAACCAAATTCTCATCCAATATGTCAAAGTAGTTTTGTTGATCTTCGCTGGTTAGACGGACTCGTACAAACCTCTTTTATACCTAGTGGTATTTTTATTCGTGACTTTCGCGCCATTGGTGCGGCCATTTTTGGAACGATAGCATCGCTCTGCCAACTCTTAATGAGAACAATCAATGATGGCCTTTTGGATTTCGGTGAAATAACTATTCTTTCAACTCAAGTGATTTCAAAGGAGCAACTTACTAATCAAGGACAGTCTCTGTTTTACTTATTCGAATCGACAACGGAGAATGCTTTTATCAATTCAATTCAAGCTTTTCGTGATGCAATGCAGGCCAACGATCTTCCATCAGGTTACGAAACATCAACATTCGTCAGTATTTTTGTACAAGATGAACAGAATGCTCAATTGCTTGCTGAACCTATCAAATACAATCACTCATGTTCCTGTCACAAAGATTCAACATGCATTGAGTCTGCTGGTGTCTACAACTATCCGAATCCAGTCATCAACTATCGCATTCCTGGATTTTTCATTGGCTGTTATATCATTGAGACAACTCTGCAGTCAAATCTGGGTCTTCTTTACAATCAAACTGCCATCGATGATTTGCGTACACGTATAGCATTTGATGATTACAATCCTGATCTGTTCAATACGACAGCACTCAATGCTTCTCTCCTAGCATATTTTAATACAACTACGCCAATCAGCAAGATGATGGAGAAGATGATGATCGATTCGTGGCACATGCAAGTTAATTACTCTGCATATTATGAACAATGTCAGCCTAATGAATGCAAGTATACATATATCGTTACCCATAACGTCGTTTTCATAGTTACTACTATCACTGGATTGGTCGGAGGTCTCACCATCATTCTTCAATTTGTCATTCCACGCGCAATCAAGTTAGCACTTCGCACTTGGATAAAGTATTACCGTCGCACCCAAGTTCAACGTATTTCAATTGCATCGACAATAAAAGACCAATTATAAAAAAATATTTAAGCTTTTGTCTTACTCTGCTTATTTTGTGTTCTTTTATGCACATAGAATTTTGCACCGTTCAACAAATCACTGCATGGGTTACGTCACTTATTATCATAAACTCAAGCTTCGATTTTAATAAATTTCAATAAATAATACCGAGAGTTTACGAAAATATGAAGATGCTATCGATGCACTACAATAAGTAAAAAAATTCATGATGAGTTTGCTATGAGTATGAGTGTGCCAGATCCACACTTACATCTCATATCTACACCCGAGTCATCAATATCCGGCATTACTGTAGAATAAGCAGGTAAATTTGTATCAGTATGATGTTTAATATTCTGTAGTTGTTCAGCTAACTATGAAGCCTCATGTTCTTTATCAAAATTCCTTGCAGAGCATCTTCAATAATATCATGAATTGCTTCGTTATTGCCCTAAACTTCGACACCGTAAAAAATCGACAAAATATAATTATTACTGCGCAAACATCTCAACAAACTAGTGGATTATATGTGTTGATCTGAAGATCTTATTACGAATGCTACGTCCAAGCGAGCAAACAATATGTAAAGACGGTGTACATGACTAGTTATGTTTAGAAGAAATATCCTTTAACCACATCTGGACTAGTCAGGAAAGTCTTTGATTCACATAATGTGTAGTACGTGTAACAAAAAGGAATAAATAAAACGAGACAAAAGGTTGATTCGAGCATTTGACCAGACAGGATTTCATATCTGATGGGTGTTCTGACGGCAGAACATGGCTTCAACGATCAACTGCTGTCAGTTTTAACATTCTGAGTAGCAGAATGATGCGCCTCCATTCTATTCTGGTAGAATTTCAAATCAAAATGACATGTGCCATAAAATAATACAAACAAATAGTAATGCAAAGAACTCCTGCATAATGTTTATTCAAGAATTATTAGGTTACTCATTTTGAGCATTGTTCCTATTCTCAATGAACCAAATTCGTTGATTATTCATTGATTTATTCATCGTCAAGAATTTTACATGTCCAAAAGTCGATAAGAGTAAGTGTATATCTGTTCCGCCTTTTATTTTTGAGTAAAAAAAAACTAACTGAACCCACACGACATTCACGTCGCGGTTTGTTGAAGGAATCACGATTCTAAAACAGTCATAAAATGCTTTGAATCTCAATTAAATCTTGTTTCAAGTCGTCTTAGGATTATGAAATTATTGCGGTCACACACGTTGTTAAGGACATAACTATTTCCTCAAGGAAAAAAAATAGGAATCGTTGTGCGTTGGCATAGATCAATGGAACTTCAGCACCGACAATCAGTCTTTGATTTTTTTTTCTTTATTTTTAATCCGCATTCTTATTTAGAAAGAAATGACTACAATATTATACACGATTTTTTCGATTTTTGTCACTGATTAATTTTGGAGTGATTCTTGATCTAATGATTGTAGTCGACCGTGCTTGAACTTCTTGCTGTTTTGTCCATCAATACTTGAGATAGTTACTTTATTCTGTGACAATGAAGTTCTGCTGCTCTTATACTGCTTCTGTTCTAAAGCACGTAGGATCACATTAGTATGTCGAAGTAAAATATCATTATCAACTTGAGGGTGTGGATATGGTTGTCTTTATCTGAAGCCAGAGACCAACACTACACTCATACCCACACCCACCCTGTGGTTGGTGATTCACTACATTGTACATGTTTTTCATTATCAAGTAATTGCCAATACATTAAACGATCTATTTTGAAATAAATAAAATCTATGAGTGTGTTGAAGAAAACTTACTTGTAGTTTTTTTAGTACCGGAGTTGCTTCCCATAGACATGAATATTTTTCCTTTTTTCATTGTTTTAAGACGAGCTTAACATGTTAAAAATTCAGTATGAGATCTTAAACGTTATTTTTATGTTCTAAATCAACAATAATATTTCTTTTATCTTATTCAAATAGATATAATTCATACTCAACAATAGGTAATTTCCTAATAATTTCTTGTTTTTTTAATTCTTGTTCATCATGTCGTCGACATATATCTTTATAATTATTTGTATTTAATCTTTTAGAAAAAAATCAAATGATGAAGTTGTATAGAGAAGTAGAAAATAATCTTTATGTATTTTATATGTATTTGCTACAGAAGATTTTTTTTTCTTTCAAATTTAAATTAAAAGAAATTATTTACGTTCAACACCAATATGAAATAGTATACAAAGTATTCGTGTTATTTCAATAGATGATGTAACTAATGAACATGGTTGTTGAAATGTTTTACATGAATTTTCAAGAACAAACTATAAACTGAAATTATTAGAGATAACGAGAAAAATTTGAATTAAATATATACTTAAATAAAATCGTTTTCTCGATGAATAAAAAAATAGAATAAATTTTGTAATGATAAAAAACCACATGGAATTATTTGAAAATCTTTTATTCGTTCTCGTAAATTCTAAAAACAATTAAATTGTTTTTTATTTGAAAATATTCTTAGTTGAAATTCAAGTCGTTCATAATCACGTTGTAATGCTTCAACTCGACGAGGATTTATTTCTGATATTGAAATAATTTCATTTATATTTACTGATGATACTCGAAAACTTAAATCTTGACAACTTTGATCAGATAATAATAAATTTGTATCAAATGCATTTCGTCGTAGTTCCAGAATCATATCACAATATTTCTATTTATCTATCAAAATTAATAAAAATTTGTCAAATGAATTCGAAATTCTAACTATATCAAATCGATCTAGTGATGTATTCATTGAATCTGTATATAATTCATTCAAATAAAATCTTTATAAAAGACATAATTATTGGACAAGTGAAGAACGAGTTAGATGCTACAACACAACATTTATTATCAAAAGTCATATGTAGAAAAAAATCGAATTTTATATTTTGAGAAAGATAACATTTGTGAACATATAATAGAATTCGATTATCCTCAAAACATTAGACAATATGTATTGAGTAAGAACATTATTTGACGTCAATATATAAAACTCTGTTCGCTTAATTTTCATTCGTTGCTGTTTTTTCAATAATAAACATTTGACTAGAGTTTCGCTGTTTGATCTTTTAATTTTCTTAGCAAGAAAATATTTAGAAGTCTCTTTCTCAGTTTTCGACATTTTTACTTTCGAACGCAGTAAGAGAAACTGAATTTCATAAACATCATTATCACTCTCGCATGATCCGAAGGCTATAAATACTCTTTTCTGGCACAATATCACAGCAAGACGGTATTGTTTAAGACCAAGGTCACACACAATGGCAATAGTCTACAAGCCGAAAAAAGAGTGAAGATATTCGATGATTCCCAATTGTTTTTTGGTATCAGAGAGATCGAAATTTGGCAGAAGATCACAAACTTTTTTCAATTAGGATAGCCGGTGATCATGGCCGAATCTGTAAACAGACTAGAAAGTTTGGTAGGAATATTTGAAATACGGTTGTCCAACAAGTGTCTACTTTTTCACTGAGTACTCAAACTACCCATGCAATAATGTCAGACGAAAGATCATAAACTACTAACATTCTAAAATCGATATTAGATTAGATAATAAATACAAACTCATGTTGATTGTATTATCATGTCTATAGATGTAAATGAATCATTATTTGAATGTTAATCCTAGAAAAATATGATGATCAAAAACCGATAGAAAATCTAAATCTTACACCAGTAACAATTGATTGTATAAGCTCACGAAGACGTATTGACACGATTGTATTTGACATAGCTATTGCTAATAACTAAAATAATACTATTTTAACTTTGATAAAGTATGATTTAAAAAAAAAATCACTCACCGAATGAAGCACTTCGTCTTCTTACTCATAATGACATTAATTAAATCCAATGCATAGTATTGCGTTTCAATATCACGTTGTCTGAATAAAATATTTTAAACTTTTAAATAATCAATTTAAAAAAAAGAGTTATTTGCTACAACAATCAAGTAAATGAGATATTTCAAGTGTTTGAATAATTTTTAATGAATATTTTGATTTATTATTAATAAAATAAATAACTAAAAGATTCGACATAATTAATGTTTATTTCTTATATGTTTCGTAGCACCGAACATCAATAAATAAGGATCTAGATAATAAACAAGAGATCCTAAAATTTATAAGTTAGTAAATCTTAAATACAAAAACTACAAAAACTAAAATTTTGAAATATTTTTTAGTTATTTGATAAATGACATTGAAATAACAAATTGTTTTACTTCGTTATAATACCAAAAGACAAGTAAAACAAGAGAGATTAATTAGGATATGACTCACTAAGAGCAAGATAGAATATTCAGAAAAGTGAATATTATCAAACAAAGAATTTTTAATTAAATTAAGAAAACATTATATATGCTGATATATTGTGATACAATGGGTTTAATATATTTTTGTTGGGAAGCAATTCTTGAAAAGATTCTTTTTTGATACGTTAGCAATACTTTATGGCTACTATTTAAGCGGTCAGTAAAATAAATTAAATGATCAGTAAAATAGATGAAATGGTCAGTAAGATAAATGGTCAGTAAAAAGTATATAAATGATCAGTAAAAAGATTAAATGGTCAGTACTTAGACTATCACTCATATAAAAAAAAGATTGGAAAAAATCTAATTTTAATCGATTTTTTAAATCAAACCAGTGATTAAAATAAATTAAATTTATAAATATTAATTTTAATGGCGGCGACGGTAAAATGCGTTTTCTCAAACTTTATGTTGAAAACTCAGATGTTCGATCGCTTTTTCGGACTCCTTGCCTCGGAAAATTAGTAGATATGATGCTAGATCGACCTTTGACATAAATTCCATGCTTCAAGACTCGATATCAATTGGTACTTATTCATTTAAAAAGAAAAACTATTAGAATTGATTAAAATCGATTTAAAAATTTTAATCGATTTTAATAGATTAAAAATCGAATAATCTGACTAAAATTGAGTAAAATAGTCAATGAAAAAATTTTAATCGGTTAAAATGGATATTTATAAATTTAATTTATTTTAATCACTAGTTTGATTAAAAAACCTGGTTAAAACTGTCCCATTTTAATCGATTTTTAATCACAAAAAAATCGATTAAAATCAGATTTTTTCCAATCTTTTTTTTTATATGAATGATAATCTAAGTACTGACCATTTAATCTTTTTACTGATCATTTATACATTTTTTACTGACCATTTATCTTACTGATCATTTCATATATTTTCCTGACCATTTCATTTATTTTACTGACCGCTTAATAATATCCCATACTTTATTCATAAAAAATTTTGTTTTCTTTTTTCTGTTTTTTTCCTTTTTTAATTATTTTGCACATTCCAATCTCAACTAAATTCTCATGTCAACTGTCACATATGTCTGCATTGTGAACAACCAAATCGAAAATAATATTTAGTTTTCTGTCGAAGACACCTGATTCTATTGTATCGAATGTGCTGGAATAGATTTCTATGAGGGCCAAACGAAGAAAAAAAAAAGATTTCTTTTTTTCTCAAATATGCGGTTTTGGCTATTGTTACTACTGCAATAGTTTCTATAAAAGAATTTAATTAATTTTTTTCCAGTTTTTAAACAAGTAACGTTCATCGACATTGAATGTCGATTCACTTGGCTGTAGACTGATGCAATGATGACAATTATGTCCTTATAATTTTAAATAAAAATGAATTCTGTGTAATGATGAGTTTAGGAGAAATTATTAATCTTTGTAACATGTTCTATATTAAATACTATAGATATATACAAATACTTCAGATAAAATATTGAAAGATGCTAATGTATATGATAAAGTTTATGCTTTAATTAATTATAACGACTGAAAACGTTGATTTATGTCAAAGTAATGGGGATTTCTAATACGGACTTGACCAATTGTCATACATGCATGCTCATTTGAGCCATAAGAATGCTAAATTGTGCCGTGCAATGGGGAATTGAGCCAGAGAAACGGTCAATTGTATAATAAAGATTGCCAATTGTGTCAAATAAATGGTCGCTTGTACCATCACTATGGTATTTTGTACCATGAAAATGGTCACTTGTACCATGTGTTACAGACAGACAGACACAGGTGAATTTCCGTTTCTAGACCCTATCCTTTCCGTCTAGGGAAAAGTTTATTAGCATTATAATAAGGGTGTGGGTGTTGATCTATTAATGGTTACATCCACACCCACACTCTATTATAGACGTAGATCTTGGAATAACGAAAGAAGTTCAAATATACGAAATTCAATTCAAATATTTACTTAATTATTTTGCTGTATTATCTTGCTTAGCTATTCCTTGTCGTGTAGTTGATATTGAATTCAAACTCATCGACTATAAAATACCCTCTGAAAAATACAGAAGATTAAATAATTTGTGCGAATCAGGTCCTTTTTTTGTCGTACCATATGGTCACATAAATGGTGTGTTGAATGTTAAAATCTTCGATTTCGATGAACGCTGTTTAAATGATAGTGTTGTCCAAGAGGGACTAGCAGTACGTGTGATACATAAATATATAATTCTTTGTTACGAGTAAAGTATGTTTCAGTTTTCTTTGTCTTCACAACTCAAAATGACAATACTACCGGTCGTTGTTACTAAAAGTCATGAAAATCATCGGTATGTGTCAATACTCTTATTCTATATTTGTAAAATGTAGTCAAAGGTTATCAATGACTTCCTTTCTTCAATTGATAACAATCAGTATATATCTTAATTGTCATCCAATTTTAAATACATGATTAAAGGACATGTAAAAAGATAGAAGGAAATCGATGAAAGAAAATATCAGTAATTTAGATACAATAAGTTCGAAGATCATCTCAAACATTTACATAAGATATTTCAGTATAAATATCGTTTATGATCATTTATTCTCTTTTGAAATTCTACTTTCAAGGATGTAGCATGTCTAGTTGCTATTTCAATTCGAAAAGTATATGTATCATATTGAATTTTCAATGATTACATGACTTGGTAGATATCAACTGTCGGATATACATTTTCTATGATAGAGATTTATGATAGATTATTACTGTTTGCAAAATTTAAGGGAAAAATTACGTGAAATGAAATATTCTTCACAATTTAATGTAACAACATTAACAAGAAAAAATTTCTATTCTTTAACATCAGAGAAAAAGGCATGAATAGATCTAGAAAACTGCACATGATTCGTTTTTTTCTGCAGATCTTCTAAGTAAAGAGATACAAAATATGGGTCACAGAAATTTCATCCTATATAAGAACAATGTTTGCTATTGAAATAAAGAATACAATGAACTTTTGATTTGTTCAAGGGAAAAACAGTATATAGAGATATTGAATCTTGATATCAGGGTTTGGTACTATGTTTTCTTAGGATGAATATTAAGAGTACCTTCTCTGTTTTCATCCCTTCGTCATCCAGAAAACGGTACAACTAATCAAATTGAAATTTTTGCCACAGATAGAGTATTAAAAATAAAGAGATATGTGTTCGAGAAAAAAATTTGAAGTGTATTTTTTTTCAGTTTTTGCTGGAAACTGGTTCTCTATGGAGTCATATCTTGATTACTTACATTCTCCATCTAAATTGTTTTAATCAAGCTGAAATTTTTATGGCTAATAATTAGAAGTATTCTTCAGAGGCTAAGTTGACCGTTTTCGTTTTTAAC